TTTGACTTCTTTTATTTCTGACTCATATATAGCATTACTCTTACAGATAGATATTATGGCCCTGCAGCACATTGTGTTATTTTCACCATATTGTATTTGCCTTTTACTTAGTCTATTACCTACTACTTTGTTGAATTATAAGAACTAGTTTCTTAGATCCCAGAGAAAGAATGTTGTTTCCCTCTTTTGATAGGTGAACAGTCTTCTAATTTTGTGCCATCTATAAATCCATGCATCTTGCAGTATGGTCTTAATCTGGACCATAAGGGGTAGTGTTAAAAAGATTGAATCTAATTGATTTTTCTTTTACTCTACTTATCACTGCCTTCTTATACTGCCAACTTCCATTTACTACTGGTCATGAGCTTGCTCACAAACCAATTTTACTTTTCTATTTAGTCTTTCACCAATAATGCCAAAATTTTGCTCAGGGTTATATGCAGAGTAATATTTGTCACTGCAAGTTAAATTATATTCTTTTTTTTATTTTTTTATTTTTATTTATTTATGATAGAGAGAGAGAGAGAGAGAGAGAGAGAGAGAGAGAGGCAGAGACACAGGCAGAGGGAGAAGCAGGCTCCATGCACCGGGAGCCCGATGTGGGATTCGATCCCGGGTCTCCAGGATCGCGTCCTGGGCCAAAGGCAGGTGCCAAACCGCTGCACCACCCAGGGATCCCAAATTATATTCTTGTATAACTGACTTCTCTCCCACTCTGGTTCATTTTGTGTACTACTATAAGGCTGACTTTAAATGTTACCTTTCTCATGTCACTATCTTTCTGGCTTTATAGTGTCCCTTGAAGCATGTTCAAATTTCTTACTTTGATATCCAAAACCGTTTAGAAATTCACTCTAATCTGACTATCCAACTACAACTCCCATACCTTTCAACTATGTTCTCTCCCTACGGTTTATCATGCAGTCCATGCATATTTGATTTGCATATAGGTAGCTATACTTACTCAAAACAACCTTGACACATTTTACCCTCTTAAAATCATATGATATGAACAGGTAAAGCAAATATATGATGATAAAAATCAGAGCAAACATTGCCTTGGAGTGGTGGAGGCAAGAGGAACTTTCTGGGGGTGATGGAAAGTTTCAATATCTTGCTTGTGGTGGTGCTTACATGGCTCTAGGTACTTGTCAAAATTCATCAAATTGTATGCATAAAATCTATACATTACACTATTTGTAAATTTATACACAGAGAGAGAGCAAACAAGTGAGCACATATGTGTATGCTAGGAGTTAATAAATCTAGATTTTAGTGTCTTCCTACCAGTCATTATGAAATCTTTTTAATGTAATATTTTCAGAGGCTTAACTTAAGTCCTAATTCTTAGGAGTCTTCCCCAACTCTTCTAGCCAACAGAGACCATAGTTTTGTTTTTAAGAATTATATAATCTATGTAAGTATTATCTCACATGGTAGTGTCCTACCCTCAGTAAGAAGCTTTTTCCTTCTTTTGGATCACTTTATACTGATTGGTTTTTGATAACTTCTTTAACTTTTGAGCAGCTCAGCTTTTCTAGAAAGCCTTAATTATACAATTGAGAATTCAAGGAGGCTATAACAGTGAATTAAGGCCATTATGCCCAGGTTGTTTGGATTTTAAAAAATAATTTTTATAGTATTGGCTTTAGTTTAGTCATTTTTGAGCCACCTGGGTGGCTTAGTGGTTGAGCGCCTGCCTTCGGCTTAGGGCATGATCCTGGAGTCCCAGGATCAAGTTCCACATCAGGCTCCCTGCATGGAGCCTGCTTCTCTCCCTGTCTGTGTCTCTGCCTCTCTCTCTCTCTCTCTCTCTCTCTCTCTCTGTCTCATGAATAAATAAATAAAATACTTTTAAAAAATAAAAAAGAAACAAGATTCCTGGGTCAGAGACAAAAATGAAAGTCTGATCAAGTCACTTCCCATTGCTTGTAGCTGTATTTCCCAATACAGTAGCCATGGCCACATACAGGTAATGAGCACTTGAAATGAAGCTAATCTGAAGTGAATCGTGCTAAATTAAAAACATGCTAGATTTCTGAGACTTAATTTGAGGAAAAAAAAAAGACTGTAAAATTTTTTTTATATCGTGAGTTAAACATTTACTTAATATATGAAAATAAATTTCATCTGTTTTTAATTTTTTTAAAATATGGCTACTAGAAAGTTTAAAATTATCTATGCAGCTCACATTTTTGGCCTGCATTATGTATCTATTGTAGACTTTTGACTTAAGGGATAGTGCTCGGGGATCTCTGGTGGCTCAGCGGTTTAGCGCCTGCCTTCGGCCGGGGGTGTGATCCTGGAGTCCCAGGATCGAGTCCCACGTTGGGTTCCCCGCATGGAGCCTGCTTCCCCCTCTGCCTGTGTCTCTGCGTCTCTCATGAATAAACAAGTAAAATCTTTTTTTTTTTTTTTAAAGGGGGGGATAGTGCTCAAACTCATATCAGAATTATGATCTTTTATCATCTGGTCACCATATGCCTAGTCAATTTTGTCTTCTGCTAGCTGCAGGCAAAGAGGGCTGGTCCAGGTGTCAGATTGACCTGGACTCATAGCTGGGCCCCTCCACATGCCAGCTGTGTGATCTGGATCAAGATGCTTAAATTTTAAATTTCAGTATCACCAGCTGAAAAACAGAGATAATACCTATACAATGTGTTGTTGGATTAAAAGATACAACAAATGTAAAGTGCTTACTGCATAAAATTTAATTCTCCCTGTACATTCTAGCCATGCCAAACTATTTTCAGTTCCCCTTTTCTTTCTATTGTAGAGGGCAGGTGATCATTCAGATTTGTCTTCAGCTTTAATATTCCTAAATGTGCATAATCCCACATTCCTGGTTAGTCATTGTGATGAGGTTTTGAAATATAGGTGAAGTCCGGAGCCAACAACCAAGAAAGAATTTTTGAGACATCTTTGGTGCAAAATGGTGGTTTTATTAAAGCATGGGGACAGGGCCCGTGGGCAGGAAGAGCTGCTGCCCAAGGCCTGTGAGGGGTGGCTGACTACATACTTGCAGAGTTGAGGGAAGTAAGCAAAAAGGAAGATTTCAAAAGATCAAAAGGGAGATTTTTTTTTTTTCACATACTAAGGAGGACCTATAAGGCACTGAAGGCATTGCCATTGTCAAGTTAAAGATTGCTTTTCCCTCTAGCAAGGCATTAACATTAAGACAATTGGAAACTTACTGAAGAATGTCACACATATCCCACCCTGGGTGGGGGTGGCTTGTGGGGTATCAGCTGTGCTTTGTCCATCTAGCCCTGTTCCCTCATCAATTGGGGTTCCACTTTTATTTGTCCCTTTTTTTTTTTTTTGCCAAATTTTGGACCTGAGAACCTCTGTGCTACCTTTTGTTTTTTATTTAATATCATGTTCTAGAGAATCCATTTTATTATTTGTTTGTTTGTTTATTTATTTTATTGAGCACTTGCTGTGTGCCAGATATCACCCCTTTAATTTATTTTTTTATTTTTTTTAATTTTTTGAAGACTTTATTTTTTAAAAAATTTTTAAATTATTTTTTATTGGGGTTCAATTTACCAACATATAGCATAACACCCAGTGCTCATCCCATCAAGTGTACCACTCAGGGCCCGTCACCCAGTCACCCCAACCTCCCTTTCCACTACCCCTTGTTCGTTTCCCAGAGTTAGGTGTCTCTCATGTTCTGTCACCCTCTCTGATATTTCCCACTCATTTTCTCTCCTTTCCCCTTTAAACCCTTTCACTATTTTTTATATTCCTCAAATGAATGAGACCATATAATGTTTGTCCTTCTCCGGAGAATTCATTTTAAAAGAAAAAATGATTGATGTAACATTGAAGAAATCTCAAGTCAAATAAAGGGCATAATCAAAAGAGGTTTTAGCTTGTTCTTGCCCTGTAGGAGAATATTTTTCTTGTGTGTGATTTGATACCCCCTAGTTATTCTTTAAGCAAAGTAGGATTTAAATTTAACTTTAGAACAGCATCAGAAAGTTTCTTCTCCTTCCCTCCTGCCTTCTTCTTCTCTTAACCCCTCTGCCTGCAAATGTCTTCTACCCAAGACCCACACATTTAGCTACGACTCAAATTACCTACTTAGTTAGGGTCCTTTTTTATCATCAGCTAGGCCAGATGAGAAGATGGTTCTCATTCTCAGTTTTCTGTGGATTACCCACAGTGTAGTAGGGTTTCTGGCAGTAAATACCTTGAAACAAATGTTCTAACAAATCTTGAAAGTGTTTTTGATGGCCAGAATTGTAAAAAATAAGAGTAGGGTAAAATGTTTTAAATGCATTTGCATTAGGAATTTCTATGTACATCTTTCGAATACTCTGCTCATGGAATCTTAATAGTTCCTTCCCATAGGAAAAATTAGAAACACAACAGCATTCCAAAAGGGATGATAAGACTCTGGCTAATGTCTCTCAAATGTAAAATGTGGCCTTTCAAATGATGTTGTCACCTGCTCCTTCTATAATGTCAGCATTTTGAAATGGGTAAAGGATATGGATTAGGTAGGAATTGAATGCAAATGTGTTTTTGCAAATAGTGTCTTTTCAGATCATCGCAGATGATGGTTGAATGCTGAAGATATTAATACAATCAGTATTTAACCTTGTGTAACTATACTTCCTCAAATCACGCCCTGCACATTGATTGCATTAAGCTAGGTCATTGGTTTAGGAATATCTTATAAGAATCTTAACTGGAAAGCAGCAGTAGTTCATCAGCTACTGTTTATTTGTATACTGAGCATGTCATCATTAATACAAAAGACAAGGTCCTTAAATAGAAAGAAAAGTGGGTTGGCATGAATTTTGCTTAATGCTGCATAATAAGCAAAGTAGCCTGTGGTACCAGAAACTGACAGGGTTCATTATGTTTAAACATATATATGTCTTTAATTTAGGGATATTATGTAAATCTGACAGAAGTTTTTACCTTTATTTTTCTATAGTTTAACTTTAATTGCTCCAAGATTAATTCTGATTTCTCGCTCCCTCCAGAGGGTGATGAGACTGGTGTGATGGATAATCTTCTAGAAGCCCTACAATCAGGTGCAGCGTTCCGAGACCGCAGAAAGCGGATTCCAAGGAATTCAGGTAAAACTCGTTCCACCTTACATGGTATTATAAAATGTGAATGTTCATAGACAAATAACACCCCCAAAAAACATTCCATTCTCCATGAATTTTTTTTATTTTTTTATTTTTTTTAAATTGTTATTTATTTATGATAGTTACACACAGAGAGAGAGAGAGGCTGAGACATAGGCAGAGGGAGAAGCAGGCTCCATGCACCGGGAGCCCGATGTGGGATTCGATCCTGGGTCTCCAGGATCACGCCCTGGGCCAAAGGCAGGCGCCAAACCGCTGCGCCACCCAGGGATCCCTGATTTTTTTTTAATAGTTGATTTTAGTTCATGTGTTAAGTCTCAACAGGCATCTATGTCAATGTGATCGCAATTTTTAATTTGGTAAAGGTATATTCAAATAACTGTAGGCGTTGCCAAAAAAATTCAGAAATAAAGACTCCTGCTGTGTTTAATATTAAATATTTTAATTGTTTTATGTGCATGTAGTTTGGGTGGAACATGGTTTAAAGCCATAATGTTGGACCCTGGCTCACGGGTGCCAACGTGTCCCGGTGGACGCCCCAGAGACCCAGACCCCAGACAGGCAGATGCAATCAGCAAGAGGGTTTATTGAACGTTTGCGCAAACGGGCTCTCCGCCTCCGAGGAGGAAAAGAGCCCCGATTAGCAATTACAGGGATCTTTTAAAGGCAAAAGGAAAGAAACCGCCTAAAGACAAAAGAACCGCGGGAGTCGCATAGCATCCAGGTTGATTTCACAGAGGGTCAACATGAACCTATTCAGGGACATTCCAATCAGGGTGTGGGGGGAAATGGTTTTCTTATTGTGAACAGAATGCTTTTAGTTGCTAAAATTTCAGGAAGGCGCCTGGATGGGCTGCCTCTGGGTTAGGGCTGGCCCTACTTACAAGGGGGGAGGTTTCTTCAATAAATGTTAATAAAGCATTAAAAGTAATTGGCCCTAGGGATGTCACATTAGTTATTTACAGGTAAGGAAACTGAAATAATGCTTCTTTCGAAAGGTCATTTTGGCTTTGTAGTACAATCCATTCTCCATTCTCCATGTTAATAAAGAGAGGAGAGGCACAGTCATATTAGAAAGTTGTCTGTTTGGGCAACCCCGGTGGCTCAGCGGTTTAGCGCCACCTTCAGTCCAGGGCATGATCCGATCCTGGAGACCCGGGATCCAGTCCCACGTCCAGCTCCCTGCATGGAGCCTGTTTCTCCCTCTGCCTGTGTCTCTGCCTCTCTCTCTTTCTCTCTCTCTCTCTATCTCTCTGTCTCTGTCTCTCCTGAGTAAATTAAAAAAAAAAATGGTTCTCTGTTTGTACCCTGTGGCTGTGGTAAATAATGGTTCCTCTCAGAATAATCCGGGTAGCTGAGCTATCCACCTCCTATAAGGAAATTTCGATATTTTTAGTGTATATCTTACGTGAAGAGGAAGAAATTAGGTATTGATTTTAAAAGTCCTCTTCATGGCTATGGAGCTATATGGAGAAGTAAATGAAAAAAGGAAAGTTGGTAGTAAATATGTAAATTCTACCCGGATTAAGGAGATTTGTCTATAATTCAACACATATTTTGTATTTGGACTGGAAACTAATATATAATCAGCCGAATAGAAAGTGGTTAGCTCTTTAAACCATTGTACTCCAACAAACCAGTGAAAGAAATGGAGCCCAGTGCAGTTGTCCAGGAAGGTTTTTGGCAATGACAAAATTCATGGCAGAGGACGATATAAGTTATCTTCATCTTTTTTACATTTGAGTGAATTTTGATGGATATGAAGACATTAGAGATGACCTACAAAAAGAGTACAAGACTGGAGGAAAGAAAAGCAAACTATTTGTGTATTCATATTGCAGTGCTGTGTAGCAGAATATTAGGAGCATTACTAATCTGTAACTATGCAGCAGCCATTTCATCTACCCTCAGTCTTTATCTGTAAAATAAGAATGTTTTACCATGCTATCAGAGACCCCTTTCAACTCCTAAGAGAATAGAAACCTTCACTGTTCTTTCTTGAACTATCAGAGTATTAACAGTGAAAAGCAAACTGAAATAATTTCTCTATCAATTCAGTTCTCTGTTAAGCAGCTGTTAAGTAAAAGCATATTATTCTGTGCCATAAAAGAACTGCCATCATCTTTCTAGGCTGTTTATTTTTAGAATACATTTGCTAAGGCCCCTGTCTGATTAGGCTCACATCTCATACTGACTCTAGAAAGATTGTACTGAGAAAGAGAGAGATCATCTCATGGTGTTTCTGTGAGCTTGGTACTTAAGGGAATATAGTATCAATTGTGAAACACCAAGAATAGATTTACAAACTGCATAATTTTATAGTATTGATTCCAAGTAATCTAAATTGAAACTTCCATTGGTTTGTAGCTGGAGTGCATCCATGAACACACAGGGTCAAAAATATCAGCCCATGCTGTTCTGGCAGTCATTCCAAGTGACAGCAGCCAATGCAAGTGTCCAGAGGTAAAAAGAAACTAGAAGCAGATGGTAGCAACTATTGGTAAAGCATCTTGAGCATCAGAGTTCAAGTGCGGGAGAGGGGGAGGCAGGCATAGAGTTGAGAAGTCAGCCAAAAACTGCCCTATTTGCTAACCTCTTTCTGGAAGCAACAGAACTGGGAATTTTCCTAGATTTTCCCCTTGTTTTTCTAACTCTTCTAACTAGATACTTTCCTGCTGGCCTCCTTTTGTTTCACTTTCTTAGGTACTTTTTTGGTTCTTTTTCAATGCCCCATTGACTTTATATTGTTATACTCTCCCTGATCAACACTAGCATCCTTACTACTTTCCAATAACCTCTACTTTAACATGATGCGATAGAAGCAGAAAAATCAAATTATAAAGAAGGCTATTTTGGGGATGCCTGGGTGTCTCAGCAGTTAAGCGTCTGTCTTTAGCTCAGGGCATGATCCTGGGGTTCTGGGATCAAATCTCACATTGGGCTCTCTGTGAGGAGCCTGCTTCTCCCTCTGCCTATGTCTCTACCTCCCTGTCTCTCATTAATTAATAAATATATTTAAAATAAATGAATAAAGAAAGAAGGCTAGTTTTATCAAGCAAAGTAAAATAAGAGCAAATAGCCAAAAAATCTGAAATCAGAGTCAGCCACAAACATCGAAGATGTACTGCTCTGCTTGCCATCTCCATTCTTACTGCTTACAGGTGGAAATTATGGTATGTAAAATACAGAGCTCTACAATTGTGCTTTTAATTGCAGTGTTTTTATTTCCATATTTAAACAAAATGAGATGATTTATATTCTTCATTAGAAAATCAAGCTGTTAGTAAATGGTATGATTAGTTGCCTAAATTATATAACTTTCACACTGAGTCTATGTCCCCTCCTCAGGATCTACCAAATTAGGAAACTCAGAGTTCCCAAATACTGCCTATATTCCAAATACTGAGAGTGTTGTTTGAAGTAAGGGCCCCAAAAGACATTTCAAAGGAGTCTATGATGTAAGGAGTGCTATTGAAAAAAATACTGATAACTAGTATAGCATAGTCTTCAACCAGTCAGAATGAACAGAGGCAATAAGTAGTCCCTATGGTGGTACTAATACATACTGGCTGAATAACAACCCAGATTATAAACTTTGCTAATACCAAACTCAGAGATTAGGAAATGAGCCCCTTAACTTTCATTAATTTATTGTACATCTGTTCTCTGAAAGATACTATGCTACACATGAGGGAAGAATGCAGAAATAATTATGATTTTCTTAGTTATAAGACCCTTATGTCTTGTGGGAAAGATAAATAGTACAGAAAGATTGCAGAATAAAGCAGAAAATAATAGATACTATACAAGAACTTTTAATAGTATACATTGTGAGCTTAGAGGGAGGAAATATGTTTTATTGGATATGTTGGAAAAAGACATGGCAGAAAAGGTTTTTAAGGATGAATATGGATTTCAGCAGTTGGAATTGCAGGTAGGGATAGTGGCCAAATGAAATGTCATTAGAAAAATACAGAAGTAAGAAAGTGCAAAGCATTTTGGGAGCATGACAAATAGTCCACCTAGTAAGAAAGTAGGCTGTATAGGGATCCCTGGGTGGCGCAGGGGTTTGGCGCCTGCCTTTGGCCCAGGGCGCGATCCTGGAGACCCGGGGTCGAGTCCCACGTCGGGCTCCCGGTGCAGGGAGCCTGCTTCTCCCTCTGCCTATGTCTCTGCCTCTCTCTCTCTCTCTCTCTCTCTCTCTGTGACTATCATAAATAAATAAAAATTAAAAAAAAAAAAAAAAAGAAAGTAGGCTGTATAAAGTGTAGAAGTATGGAGATAATTCTGGAAAAGTAGATTGATTAGCAGTGGGTGTTATATGCAACTGATGAATCACCAAATTCTACCCCTGAAACTAATAATACATTATATGTTAACTAAATTGAATTTAAATAATTTTTTTAAAAAAATAAATTGATGCCACATCATAGAGTGCTTGAATAAGAGACTAAGGTGTTAGCATATAATTCATCAGGCAATGGGGAAATATTGAAAGTTCTTAGGCAGTGGAGGAACATGATCAAAGTTATATATTATTAAGACATTTAATCTACAGGAGTATGAGTGATGAATTAGGGTTCTACCATCAAATTTTAGTGAAAGGAGATAATTTAGAAGAAGAGGAGGAGGGGAAGCCAGGAGTCAAAGATAATCATAGGATTCTGAGTTTGAGTAGCTAGAAAGACAGTTGGGTTATGAGTAAAAACTATTAAGATCAGGAAAAGGAGTGGTGATGAAAGATAAAGTAAGTTTTGGGAGAGTAAAACTGAAAGTGGCAACAGAGCATTGAAGTCAAGCTTTCCAGAAGTTTCTTGGAAGTATAGGTGTCAGTTTCATCACAAGATGGTTGAGTTTGTGAGATTTCTGGTTATAGTGTGGAAATGGAAGGGATTATTAGAGTGATTATCCAGATAAAAGAGATCTTAAAACAGAACTTTGAAAATGCCTTCACTTAGGGGCTAAAACTAGCAAAGAAGATAGAC